TTTTTTTTTTTTTTTTTTTTTTTTTTTTTTTTTTTTTTTTTTTTTTTTAGGAAAACCATGGCAAACGCTGCTGCATCCAACTTCTCTGATGCGTGTACCTCCTTCTCCTTGAATTTCACCTATTCCTCCTCCTCTTCGTCACCTCAGACCGCACACACGGTTGCCCCCAATGTGCCGTACATGGCGGCCGAGCTCGTTATTGCCTTCTTATCCGTGGCGGGCAATCTGCTCGTATGCGCCGCTGTGGGTCTCAACCGAAAGCTGCGCACCGTCACCAACTACTTCCTGGTGTCCCTGGCGGTCGCCGATGTCTGCGTCGGCGCCGTGGCCATCCCCTGCGCCATCCTGACGGACGCCGGCCTGCCGCGCCACCAGCTCCACCTGTGCCTGCTCATGCTGAGCGTCCTGATCATGCTCACGCAGAGCTCCATCTTCAGCCTGCTGGCCGTGGCCGTGGAGCGCTACGTGGCCATCTTCATACCCYTCCGCTACAGCGTCCTGGTGACGCCTCGCAACGCCGCGCTGGTGATCCTTGCCACGTGGCTGCTGGCCTTCCTCATCGGCCTCGTGCCTCTGATGGGCTGGCACAAGGCGCCACCCGCCTCCGGCGACTGCCTATTCGTCCTGGTGGTGGACATGACCTACATGGTTTACTTCAACTTCTTTGCCTGCGTTTTGGCGCCACTGCTCGCCATGTTCCTCATCTACGCCCGCATCTTCGTCATGGTCCGACGGCAGGGGCGGCGCGTCGGGACCGAGCGGCAGATCGGGGCCAGGGTGCGAAGGGAGACCAAGACAGCCGCGTCCCTCTTCCTGGTGCTTTTCCTCTTCACCGCCTGCTGGATCCCCCTCCACGTCATCAACTGCTTCCTGCTGCTCTGCCCGCGCTGCTCCGTGCCGCTGGAGCTGCTGCTCGCCGCCATCATCCTGTCGCACGCAAACTCCGCCGTCAACCCGTTCCTGTACGCGTACACCATGACGGCATTCAGGGACACGTTCAAGGCGATCGTTTTGTGCTGCAGGTTGGTTCCGAACCGGAACAACGGCGAGGAAACAAACCCTTGAACTAAACGTTTGTCAGGTTCCCACATCAAATTCAAGGACCTTTCAAGGACTTTCCAGTACCAATTTTCTCAAATTTAAGAACAAGTGACAGCAATTACCTACTGCTCCCACAGAATGTTACCAATAAACAGGTTTAATATGTAAATTCAATGAAAAACTGAACAACAGAAGTTGCTGAGTCAGAATCAATGAAAGAAAGTGGATTAAGTGCATACCCTGCATTCATTTCCACAATACATGGACATGTAATTATATTAGAGGTTCAGCAGCTCAGTTTGGGTGGAGGGGATGTGAACATGTCCGTGGTGCTCTCACCTGGGCTCAGAAAGAAAGACCTGCCCTACTCTGCTCTGATTGGATAAAACTATGACTATGGCTCACGTTATTTGTTGAAAGCCATGTCATTTACCTTAATCCTGAGTTATCCACTGCAACTTATTTATTTATTTTATTTTTATTACCTTTTTTTTTTTTTACAGATGATGAATATCAGTCATGTGAATAGAGAACTTCAATCCCCAAAAAACATTTAAAAACTATCAAGGAAAAGTGTATTTTTGGCTGTTTTCACAAACTTTCCAGGGACTTGAAATAATTTTCCCAAATTCACAAACTTTCAAGGATTTCAACGACCCGTGGGAACCCTGTCTCACCCTTCCGACTTGACGACGGGGAGCCTCTTCTTCAGCTCGTCCTTGTCCTCCGCCCGCAGCGCGCCGAACCCCTTCAGCAGGTCGGCGCCGTATTCGGGCTTAAAATCCAGCGCTTCCCTGCGGCTCACGAAGCACGCCGTGTGGTACCAGCGGTCGATCAGACCCAGCTGAGGCTTCTCGGGGTCCACCATTTTTTTGGAGACGCGGATCTGATCCTGAAGCAGAAGGCAAAGTGTTGCAGAAATGTCAAATAATGCGACGGAGCGTCTAGATTTAGCGCGTGTCACGGTTACGGCTGCAAACCTTTTCGATTTTCTGCTCGCAGCCTTTGCACGTGCTGCGGTTGGACTTGGCGTATTCCACCGCAAAGTTGTTCAGAGTCTTCTGTCCTTTGGCTGCACCCTTCGCACCGCCCTTTCCTGCCCAATAAAGCAAAATTCACACTTTGAAAACAGAAAAACGGCTACAACTCTGTTTGTTTTACAAACAACATGCTTTACTTCAAGGAGCTTTATATTGCTTCTGTTTGTTTCATAGTTAATTTAGCCACTAAAACAAGCAATCTTATTGACATAAGGTCTTTACTAACCTGTTTTTTATATGAGTTTACTTAAGCTTGTTTGCTCACACTAAGTAAAAACCAGGCAACAAATTGTACAAAAATCAACAAAAATTGAATTCATTGATCCGCACACCGACCTCCTGCAGCTCCTCCGCCCTCAATGGCCTTTTTAACCTTTTCTTGGTCGTCCCAGCGGAGGTCAGAGAAGCCGGTGATGTCTGCCGGAGACTGAGCTGCCGCTCGCTGCCAGAAGCAGGAGAAGTGGTGCCAGTGCGGGACTTTCCCGTCAAACATCGGGGACTAGAGGACAAAAGAAAAGGTGTGATCACAGTGAAGCCGCGCCAAACCTCACACTGGATTTTACAGAGCAGAGACGGGCTGAACGTGTGTGACCTGACATAATGTACGATGAATAAAAAGGGAAAAGATTAATATATATTATATCCTACGTTTCACGTCACAGCTCAAAACATATAACCTGATGACTTTTTTTTTTTTTTACAAAAGAGGATTAGGGCAACTGGGAGAAAAAAAATAAGTGACTTTTTTCCTCAGAATTCTCAGTCAGAATTATTATTTTTTTCCCCACTGGCCCTAATCGTCTTTCATACTTTTGCTCTTTGATTCAAAGGATTTTATATTGTTTCATTTAATTGATTTTGTGTACATTGTAAAGTGTCTTTTAAGTGCTGAGAAAAGTCTYTCCAAATAAATTGTTATTATTATTAATGATTCAATAAAGAAGCTGTAGTATTAAGTTAATACAATTATATTAACAGTAAAAACTGAAGACATTAAATATTTAAGATGGTTTTAATATTTTTTACTTATTAATTAAAAAAATGAATGTTTAATGAAATGAGTGTTTTGTGGCTGTGTTTTTTTTTTTAATGAAACTGAGTTATTGGTTTAAAAG